TTATTCCCTTGTCGTACTACTTAATGATGAATAGTATTGGCCAAGAGTAAATTATATTTTGTTTTGCAAGACTTTTATAAAATATGCTTGGTTAGAGATTGTACAAAGAAAGTTATAATAATGTGATTAGGTATATTTGGAATTTTTTGTTATTTTAATAGCAGTAAGATGTACTAAATCAGAAGAATGTGTCTTAGTCAGTAAGATATATGAAGATGCAGGTAAGATAAGGAAAGATAAATGTTATGGTCCCTGTAATTTCTCAACCTCCAAAGTAAAGTAAGCCAAGAACATAGCTGGAAGAGGACCAAGTGAAGCAGGGTCCAAATGAGCTCTTCAGCTACAAGCTCTAATTGCACTGGACAGAGGGCCCTGCTCACACCAAGGAGAGCAGCTTCTAGTGATGGGATGACTTGATTAATACCATCTCAAGAGAGCAACCAGACTGAAGTTTGGAAGGGATTTGAGTAGCGATGACAAAAGTTAGGTGGTGATTAAAAGTGAACAAAAAAATACATGCACGCTGGAAAATATTTGGGTGTGGCATGTATCTACTTTCTTTAGTTGGTATTTTCAAGACCACCATAAATAAAATGAATACGGAGACACACATTGCCTCATTTCTTAGTAACTGCTTAAAAACAAAAAATAAATCCCTGAACAAAAAATGACAGACAAGGAATTGTACATAAATTGGCTTGGCTAAAATTTCCAAGGAGGGTCAAACCTGCCCCAAGGACACAAGATACAGAGTCAACATTTTTTATATTTTATTGAAGTTATATATGTCTTAATTTTTATTCAAAGTAATTCATGCACATAATAAATAACATTTTAAAAAAATTTCAATGTCCTCTGCATTGCCTTTCCCTAGACTACCTACAAGGAGTAATAATTCTTTTAGTCATATCTTTTGGTATTAGCCTTCATTTCTCCATTTTTCAAAGCCTATATAACATGACTGTACTTCTTTTCCTTGATTTATCAATTCTAACATCTGAAATAAGTTTCTCATTATTTTGAAAAAGAATATAAGTCTCTCCCATGCTGATTCTCACCTCCCAACGTAGCATAACATAATTGTTAGTTAATAATGCAGTTTCATTTCTATGAATATGTAAATTCATAGTATACTATGGTTGAACTTTCTTTTGCAATCTCTTTTCTCTGAAGTTAATAATGGTCTCTCTGTCCTTTTTTTTTCTTTTAACTAATATAACTTTCTTCTATTCATAAATGTTTCCAAATACCTCTTCAGAGCCTTCATTATCCTTTAGTACCAAGAGCTGCTGTGGAAAAACATCATTCTGATATCCCCTCATATAGAACACATTATTCTCTCTAGAAGTTACTGAATCTTCACTTTATCACAGATGTCGTGCTACTGCATAATAATGAGCATTAATGTGGTGCTTTTTTTTACATTTACTGTGCCAAGTCACTAGAAATTGTGTAACCACTTCCTTCATATATGAATTTTTTCCTCTATATTTGATAATATTCTTCCTTATATGCTCTCTTTTTTCTTTCTGGAACACCTACAAACCTGGATTGATTTTCTTTTTAATATTTTATCATTTTAGTCTGATTTCCTATCTCTTTGTTTACTTTGTTGTCTGGAAAATGAGTTGATTTTATTTTTTAATTCTTGTACTAAAGTTTAAAACATAATTGTCTAGCATATTTTAAATTTGATCATTGTTCCTTTTTCTCAGATATTTTATAGTTGTATTATATTCCCTTATTATTCTAAGGATATTGATTTATATTTTTTGTTTTTTGAAGATTTTTTTTACCCTGCATTGATTCTGCTTACTCCTAAGTCTTTCTTTTCTTTTCTTTTTGTATTTTTTCTAATGTTACAGATTTTCTTTAGAAGTCTGCAGATTCATACTTTTCTATGTATATTTAAGAATGAGATACCTCAGAGACTTCTACTTCTGGCCCTAATGGAATAGCTGGGACCAGATTTATCTTCCCACCTTAACAAGCAAGACAAATAGAACAGATGTGATACAACGCTTCTCCAACATTGTACTTCAGGCAAACAAATAAGATGGATCCTATGAATATCTCAGCTTAGTATATAGTGTATTTCCAGGAGTTGTGCAGGGAGTGGAAACCCAAAGAGAACTCAGGGGTTTCAATGAACTGAGAAGACAGAGTTTCATATAGGCAGGATAAGGTGGCTAGCATATACCAGAGAGAGAGAGAACTCCAGGGATTAGCAGAGGGGGCCCCTTGAGTCTTTGGCTGAATACTGTTTTGTTACAGTGAGGAAACTATCCAGCTCATGCAAACAATGGCCTGAAAGAAGTAGAGCAATTCTCAGCTACATACAGGGCTAGGAATAGTTTCTGTTCCCACTCATCAGAGTGAAAAGGCTTGCTGATACACAAGATATCAGAGTTCTCAGAAGAGTTTTACCTCAGAAGCGGGATTAAATTAGCTATGGATTAAGGCTGTCCTACATCTGCCTTTGTTAAAAGCTTGAAAGCAGGTCTCAAAAGAAGCAACCTTATTCCAAATAACCACATTCTAGAAAAAGATGAATCAAAATTGTCAGAAATGCAAAGGTGGGTAATATTTTAATACTCTGTTCTCACTAATTGATTAAATAATAATACAGAAATTCAGGAAAGATATAGAAACTTTGAACAACACTGTCAACCATCTTGACCTAACATATATAGAACATACCCACAACAAAAGCAAAATACATATTTTTTTCAAGTGTACATAAGATGTTTTCAATATAAATAGTATGCTGCATCTTTTTTATCTATTGATGTGAACTTATGATGCTTCCATATCTTGGCAATTATAAATAATGTTGCTGTTAGTAAATGTATCTTTCTGAATTAATTCTTATTGTGTGGTTTGCTTTATTCCTTTGATAACTGTGTAAGTTTAAAGAGCTAAAGCTCTCAGAAACAATGAACAGTACATATATGTATTTATATGCAATACACTGTATATGTGCAGTCAAATTGTAACAACTCTACCTCATAAAACTGAAAAATGAAAAAAAAAGAAATAATGATTGAAATCTTCCCAAATTATCAAAAAACACTAACTCACACATCCTGGAACTCGTTGAACTCCAAATAGAATACTTACAAAGAGATCTACAAACACAAACATCACAGTAAAAATGCTGACAGTCAAAGGCAAGGAGAAAATCATGAAAGCAGCACGTGAAAAATCACAGTCCACTAAAAAGGGACTCCTAATGAGATCGACAGCTGATTTCTCAGCAGAAATACAGGAGGCTAGAAGGCATTGGGATAATACCCTCCAACTGCTCAAAGAAAAAACTAACTGAGAATCCAATACCCAGCAAAGCTATCTTTCAAAAATGAAAGCCAAAGACACTTCCAGATAAATAAAAACTGAGAGAATTTGTTGCTAGTAGATCTGCCTTCCAGGAAGTAATAAAGTCCTTTAGGCTAAAAGCAAACAACCCTAGACAGTTATTTCACTCTACACACAAAAACAAAGAGCACCAATAAAGGTAATTATGTAACTGCTAAAGACAGGATAAAGGCACATTTCCCCCCCTTTCTTCTCTTAACAGATTTAAAGAGAAATTGTATAAAATAATATATATGTATATATTGTAATGTTGAGCCTGTAACGTATAAAAATTTAATATGTTTGCCAGTAACAGTCCAAAGGAGGTGATAGGAACAAAGCAGTATTGGAATTAACAATGTATTATTGAGTTTGTAATAATTAACTACATTGTAATGGATTGATGTTATGGATAACATTAACTGATGTAACAACACTGCCCCAAAATAGGGAAAAAGAGACTAGAATCATAGGGTAGTTATATATTTCTATACCTCAGTGGAATCAAGCCAGTATAATGCTAAAGCTGATTTCTGTAAGTTAAAATATATGTGGTAAGTCCTAGAGCAACCACTAATAATGTTTGTTTATGTGTTTAATTTTAAAATAATTAATAAATAAATTCAAGTGCTTCATTAGAAAATATTTACTTAATACAAAAGAAAGTAGTAAAGGAGAAAAAAGGAACATGAGACAAGAGACACAGAAAACCAGAAGTAAAATGGCAGATATAAATCTAACTATGTCAATAATAACATTAAATATGAATGGATTAAACAAATCAAAATTCAGAGATTGTCAGACTGAATTCAAAAAGCAAGAGTCAGTTGTATATAGTCTATAGGAAACACATTTTAGACATGAATGCTTATAGAAGCATTATTCATAATAGTCAAATGGTGAAAAAAACCTACTTATCCATCAACTGACAAATGGATTAAAAAAAAATGTGCTATGTCCATAATAGAGTATTATTAAGCATAAAAAAGAATGAACTACTGATCTGTGCTACACATGGATGAACCTTAAAAGCATGTGCTTAACGAACAAAGACAGTCACCAAAAAACCACATATTGTATAAGTCCATTAATATGAAATATCCCCAATAGGGAACTGTATAGAGACAGAAGGTAGATTAGTGATTGCTTAGCAAAGGGAGTGGGGTAGAGAGATAGTGGGGTACAGGGTTTCTTTTTGATGTGATAAAAATGTTCCCAAGTTGCCTGTGGTGATGACTGTACATATCTATGAATATACTAAAAACCATTAAATTGTACACTTTAAGTTAGTGAATTATATGGTATGTGAATTATATCTTAACAAAGCTATTTTAAAAAAAATAAAAGAGGAGGGTACAGATAAATGAATGAGCTAAAATTGGGAAATTCAAAAAGAGGACATGACTAAATAAACCACAATTCAGAACATTATTTTGGTCAAAACTAAGAAATCTTTCATAGTCCTTTTTGTGAGAAAGAACAAGAAATTAGAGTAAGAGGCCCACTGTGTAAAATACATGCTCTATTGTGTACATTTCAATTTAAGTTGTCTAAGTTAAAGAGTTTAAAATTAAATAAATCCAAAAGTGCAAAGAAAATACACAATATTTCTTAGGCATACTTTGTATGGAGTAAAAGTGGAAGAAAATTTGGGGACCATAGTTTATGTTGAGGAGGAATTTCCATTCCTAAGCTTTACAGTTTCAAGTCTAGAGACACGCAGAGCAAGACTAGCTGCTTGCTTTTCTCCACCTGCTCACACATGTTTCCCAAAGGGAACGAGAGTTAGGTATCCGACTGGTGATTTGAGAAGAAAGCGTTAAACTTGGCTCTGCTGGGTCTCTCCTTTCTCTTCGGGTCTCTTTGTCTCAGAAGGAATGACCATTTGCTCTCCTCCACGAGGTAAGTTGGGCGGAGCAGGAGAGTGGTCTAAAGCTGGTGGCCTTTTCATCTGCTTCTGTCTGGCTTCTGTGTTTGTCTTTTACTTGGTTCTGCACTCAGTTGAGAGAAAGGATGTTGCTTATTGGGCCCTTTCAAAAATTCCACTTGTAACTCTAATTCATTCAAGTCAGTATTGCATATATTGATGCTTCTTATGCCATTCTTAATATATTTTTACTTGTCTGATATATGTTCTCATACATTTTTAAGGGAATAAAGGGTGTAACTGGACTTATAATATGGAATGCTGTGATGGAAGGGGAAACTTGGTGAAGGGCTTTAAGTAGATCTTTAAAGCTCAATATTTTGGCTTGCAAGTTTTTTCTGAAAGAAATACTTCATGAACCTATAACATAGCAAGCCACTGTTTGCAAATACTTGAAAAGTGGTATGGTTCTATGTAAACATTTATAGAAACAATTGAGCAGAAAAGAGTTTTAAGCCTGCATGGTGACAATGCCCTAACTTTGTACATTGAAACTAAACCAAAAACCACTGTATTTACAGTACTTGAAGTTTCATATATTGTCATATGCCACAAATTAGAAAACTCTTTAAAATGATTCCCAATTAGTAAGTTTAAGATTATGTTTCATTGTGAAGAACCTGCAGAGGGCACTCACACATCCTTGCTCTAAGACAAGTAATTTTCTTAAAAATTTAATTTTAAACATTTTTTATATTTCAGTTTATTGTTTAGCTTTTAAACATACAATTAAAATTAGTTCCTCTAAAACTAATAACTAATTTTCAAATAGAAAATGTACAGATACAAGCCCAAATCTGTCTTCACCGAATTCAACAAGCACAAATTTATTCCATCAGCTTGCATAAACATTTCTAAATGCTTGTTTTCACATTCTGGGCTTACCTCATGGACAGGTCAAACTGTGGGCCTAGACTGGCCTGTGGACCACTGATCTAAGCGACTCTGTACTTCTTTCTTCTAGTCATCCTCACCTTTGTGGCAGTACAGAGTCAGCCTACGCTTGAGTTTAATCTGTTTTGACCTTCGTGTTTCTTCCTTTAATGTATTTCAGCTCAGTTTTCCTTTTCCAGGGTGTTATGCTCTGAATTTCTCTCTCTCTCTCTCGCCTTAATACATTACCTTCCACATCAGCTTTCATAAGAAAATGTCACTTCTCTCTTTTTCTTCTCTTGATGGATGACTGAGCATCCCTGATAGCAAACTGATCTAACATGCAATGTTCACAGGTGATCTGTTTTCCCCCACTTCTGCTTCTCTCTCCCTTTTCCTCTCTCCTTTTCTAAACAATTAGTAGTTGAGTGTCTATGCTCTAACAGGAACTTATCCACTGATAAGACACCCCAAGTCCTGGTCCTCACGGTGCTCACTGTCTACTAGGCAGCACCTATTGAGCAAATAATTTATTACTTAGAAGAAGGGTAAGTTCTACAAAGGGGAAATAGGAGCTATCTTTGCAGGGTTAACATGCTGGTGAGTCTTGCTGACTTACATAATTCTAGAGGACAAAAGGTTATGTCTTATTTTTAAGAAATGAGTCATGTTTAAATATACCATCTTTAAAATGAAACTTTATCTTTTCAAAATGATATTTTTAATTTTAAAAGTCTGAAATGAATGATTGAATAAAAGTTACTTCAATTGGTTCAGTTTAAGGAGCTGAGAATAAAAATCTGAGTGTCAAAAAAAATCTCTGATTCAAAAGATTTTAAAAAATCAAATTATAAACGGGATTTATACCTATACACATTAAGATTTTTTTCTCAGCATTTTTTAAGAGATAAATATCTGTAACTGTTTTGGTTTCAGTAAGATGGCCTTCCCAATTTTTAGTTTTTTATTGAAGCATAGTTGATTTACAATGTTGTGTGTGTTTCTGGGGAGGAAGGGTATAGATCAAGTGGTAGAGCACATGCTCAGCACCCAAGAGGCCGTGGGTTCAGTCCCCGGTACCTCCTCCAAGCGGAAATCAATGAAACCTAATTACCTCCCCCTCAGAAAACAAACAATACAAGCAAAATGTTTCTGGTATACAGCATAGTGTTTCAGTCATATATATATATATATATATATTTGCACATATTCAGTTTCATTATTGGTTATTACAAGGTATTAAATATAGTTCCCTGTCCTATGCCGTAGGATATTGCTATGTATCTATTTCATGTATGATAGTTTGTATCTGCTAATCCCAAACTCCTAATTTATCCCTCCTTCATCGCCTTTCCCTTTTGATAACCGTAAGTTTGTTTTCTACGTCTGTGAGTTTGTTTTTGTTTTGTAAATAAGATCGTTTGTCTCACTTTTTTAGATTCCATGTATAAGTGATATCATATGGTATCTGTCTTTCTCTGGCCTTCTCAATTTAATTACTTTATTTCTCTTAAGTTTAAAATATCACCATCCTTGCTGATCATTTCAATGACAATAATAATTGTCAATATTTATCTTTTTCTTTTTTTAACTTTTATGCTTCAATATAGTTTGCTGGTCTAAACCTTTTGGCAATTTTGTTCTTCCTTTAGAGTCATCCTCTAATTGACAAAACTATCAAAGCTAAACTTTTACTCATTTACGTTGATAAGAAAAACAAAGATGATTTTATCCAGATGTAAAGAAACTACCTTATATTATCCAATTATTTCAAAGCGTAATATTTTGTAAATGTAGCCTTTCAAAAACTTTTACCAAATTTTTTCTGCTTTTGCTGTCTTCCTAAATAAGTAGTAAAATGTCAAGAAAATTGGTGACTGATAGTATTGATAGAAGAAGAACATTATCTGTATAACCACTGAAGAGTCATCAACAAATGACAGCACAAACAGGCAATATTTTTTTCCACTACTGAAAATGACCATCCTGAAAAATGTAATAGTTTCTCTTGGTTACATGAACAAAACAAAGAAGCAATATGAAGCAGCACAGAATGATGAAGGCAAGAATTCCTAGTGCTTCATCCTCTCTCATGTGTATACACACAGCACTGATGTTTATTTTGTACCTACTTATTTTGAGGCATTCTACCTAGAAAAATAGAGATGAATACCTTCTTTAAAAAACTAAGCATGTTTCACATGAGACTGCTATCACACAACAAGAAGCAAAAGGGAAGTTTCTATGACCATGTCTGTGCGTGTTTATAATCTGTATCTATTTTTGTAAAAACAGGTACATACAGGTGTAAATCAGGCTTCTGAAGTGTTTTAAAATTCTAAGTTCAAATAAGTGCTACTCCAGTTTTAAATTATTCATTAAAAATGTCAAACTTTCTGTTAATTCTTAAGAATACAATATTAGATTGCTGGAAAGTTATTGTTTGATGCTGGATTTTAGAAGAATAAGGCTCACTTTTGTTGTGGAAGTCTAGAAAGCCAATGGAAGCTGACTTCCTCACTTTCTTCTGTGCTGACAAAACCATTCAGGCTGTGTCCTAATCAAAGAATTTAATTCATTCTGTAGTAGGTGTTCTGGAACTACAGTCCTGAGGACACTATTGGTAACCTTACTGATATTTATTGATTTAACAGATATATCATATTCAATGTCACTAAGGCTGTAAGAATGATTGCTTTTATTTATCCACTGATGGAGTTCAGAGCGATGTCAGGAAAACTTGCAAGAGTGAAGTGTTTCCACATGTGAGGAAATGTACTTTCCATCATGAATTTTCTGTTACGTTGCTTGTGACATAGGGACAGTCCTCAAATGAACTAGTGGAAAGAGCTTATGTCTCCTAGATTGATCAGAAGGTATTTATTTTAAGCTATTACATCATTAGCTTTTATACAAATGGGATGTGTTAAAACACAGTGAGAAGATATTTTTAAAAACCTCATATCGGCAATAAGAAATTCCATTTTAGAAGTAAATTTTGAAGGAAGCTTTTCCACTGTAGTGGAAGCATGTCATATAATTTAACATCTCTGTTCTCACTGCATTCACTTTTTATTACTCTTGGGGATTTCATCTCTAATCTCTTTCTCAGGTGTCTCATGTATTTACCTTCTTCATTTTTACCATCCAACTCTCTGGTCTGCTTCTCCTCAACTACAGAACCTGTAACAAATATAGATATTTTTTCAATTCCTTGAACTATACCACAGTAAGTCTACCCGCAGACTCAGTGAGATCTCTAAACTCACAGCTTTGATAGAGTCTGCTGGCTCTGCACATTGTGGGCACTCCAGGCCTGACTCCATGTGCCTCCAGCAAAGCACAGGGCAGCGTGACTGTCTGATCCACGGGTGAGTAGCATTGGCTTTCCCAGGAACAGTACATCTGAGTCTACACAAACTCACAGCTGAGAGAAGAAGCAAACACGCAGAGCCCAGAAAAGGTTGGGACCAGAGCCATCACGCTGCCATGGTTAGCCAACTCCATAGGCACATCTGGTAAGCAATTGTAGTCCATGAACCCTGTAAAATTGTAAACGTGGCCTGTTGAGCATAAGAGTCTTTTCTATCTGACATTATATTGACTAGGCTCTTGCTATCCCCTCTAGAGAGACCCTTCACCCTGCTCTGTAAACAGAGAAGGAAGTCAAAGGCCCACTCTCGCATGCAGGAGGTTGGCAGCTCACCCTGAACTTGCTTTAGCCAGAGCACACTCAGGCGTCATGGTCAGTGGATATCTTGGAGCTTCAAAGGTGAGTCCACTGCTCAAAGAGAGACATTTCGATGACCCAAGATTCCTGGCAGATTTTATTTCAGTTGCTGGAAGTTTCTCAAAAAAGCTCAAAAGCCCTCCAGCTGCCTGTAGAGTCTGTGAAATGCATGCAGTGGGTCTCCCAAACAAAGCTTTAGAAGGCTGCTAGCACCACAGATACAACCCAGCCTCTGCATCTTGATTTCACTAGAACAGATGTTATCTGCAAGCAATTAACATACTTGTCATCACCAGTGAAACAGATACAGGATCCTTCAGGTTTTTTTTTTTTAATGCACCCTAAAGAAAAGTGTTGTGCATAAAACAAAATGTTCACATTGGCATTAAAATAATATTCAATAAAGAAATTTACATGTGTCAATTTTTCAGTTTTTTCCAATTTTGGGGAAAAAGATACTGTAATAATTTTTAGAAAGCTGTTAGGGAATAAATGTCACCAGCAATATAAATGTTTGTGATAACTCTCTAATTCAATTAAAGCAGTATCTATTTGTAATTATTTATCTTCATGTCATGACTGATAGAAATTGCCATTTGGTGTATTTTCCTCTATTTAAACACTTTCAAAATTGCTTGATTTTATAGATTTCTATGGGAAATAATGTGATTTGATTTATAATCATAATCATAATCATAATACGAATGTCAAATTGTAAAATGAAATGCTGAGCAAAATATGACCCTTAAGACTGGTACAAGTGAAAAGTTTGGTAAGATTCAATGTGTAGATGTCCTAGGTGGTAAAAACAAAACCAAAAATAAAACAGCAGAAATTCTAAACTCTTGAGTTGTTCCTTTAAAAAAAAGTCTAAATAGCATAATACCTTTGTATTATATAATTATACTTTTGACATCAAATCAATTTCTTATAGGCTAATTCTGTAATATGATGGTCCTAAATTATTTATCCTCATTCAATTCCTAGTTTTCATTTAGCATTCATACCCTTGTACTTCTTTTAATTCGTGAAAATTGAAAGGCCTCATTTCTAACATTTCAATTTTCAATCACAAATATCTCTGCTGAAATTAAATCCTTATTTTGTCTTTTATATTCCTGTTAAGAAACTTCGTAAGATTTTAAGGAAGTATTTCTGCTATAATGACAGCTTAACTGATTGGAAAATATAAACAAATCACATAAGCAAATATTATGACTGATATATTCATTCTGCACACAAGTACTTACGGTATTTGAAGTGGAATAAATCTTTAGTGCAACAGGGAGGCAGATATGAGACAATAAAAGAGCACTGAACTAGATGGAGTCTGATATCCTGGATCACTCTCATAAGTCTACATTTACTAACTGATGACCTTGAAAAATGAAAAATGACTTAGCCTTTCTACCTGGAAAATGATGATCTTCTTAACTGTATATTGTGAATTGAGATAATTGACATGAAAATACTTCATAAATTATGGCACACTATTCAGTTTTAATCAGAGAACATTTTACATAGTATGTACTCAATAATACCTGATGAAAAGTAGTACCAATTTTATTAGGTGACGCTAGTGACAGTGTCCTGATGCTTTTGGTGCTTCCTCTCTAATAGGAAGGGTTTAATCAGTGCAGCTTTAATGCCAGATAGATTGGTTAATTTGTCCACTGATAATCCCCCATATACTATACGGATGCCCAGGTTGCTCACATTCCTCTCCCAACCTCTTCTTTCTCTGTCCTCATACAAAGCCTCATGTCCTTCCAGGTCCTGCCCAAGCCTTGCATCTCCTCAGCACTCAGTGTTTGTGCAAAAGTCATATCCTTTAGTGTGTATTCTCCACTTTACTGTACTTCACTGCCTAAGACAAGACTACCTTATATATTAACACCTTTTTACTGATTTCATAGTAAATATTTTTTTCTTTTATATCAAAATCCCCTTGTGATTTTTCATTCTTCTTCATAGACTCAGTACCTATTAAATTGACCTCTAAGAAATAATTACTCAAATGTCCACTAATATTAATGATTTGAAACCTCTCGAATCAGAGCCTGGGTATTATGGGTGAGATTTTGTTCAAGTAACAGCAGTTCTTTTATGCTTATGTGATCCACTTGTCAACAAATCCTTTAGTAAGAAAGGCAAAACTTTGAGGTTGTTTTATTGATTTGTGTATTTTTTGGAATTCAGCTGTTTAAAAAAAAACTCTTTCCTAGACTTTATTCTGATTAGAACTTATGATTTTTTGTGACTTTATTAATTCATTCAGTAAATATTTGCTAGAGAACTTCCATGTACAAGGCATTGCTCTAAGCATGTTTGATACAGCAATAGACAAGTCGGAGCAAATGCTCCCTGCCTCTTGGACCCTAATTCCACAGGACAAGACTTGCAATAAATCTAGTAAATTCTCTAATAAATGAAATAAACTCAGGTAGTTAAATGTCCAGTGAAATAAACAAATAGGATACTTTTTTGAAAATGAGCAGGTGCAGGAGGACACTTTGGTGGAGTCTTGAAAGTGACAATGTAAGTTAAAAAGTAAAGGATGAGAATAAGCCTGTCAGACCAAGAGCCAGGCAGAGACTAAAAGGTTCAAAGTCCATAAGCAGACAAGAACTTGACCTAGTCTAACAGTTTTCAGAGGCCAGTGGGGTGAAGTACAGTGAGAGGAAAGGAAAAGTCATGGCATCATGTAGGAGAGATAATAATAATATCAATATTATTAGCTAATATTCTTTGTGTGCTTTCTATTGTCAGATACAATGCACAGATTATCTCACTGGATCCTCACAAAAATTCTGTGAAGTGCATATTATTATCAACATGTTGCACATGAAGAAATATGCTTAGAGAGGTTAAATATGAGAGAACCTGATCACGAGATGACTTATAGGATGTGGTAAACAGGTACAATGAGAAGCCTTTGAAAGCTTTTAGTTAACAGAATATGATTGATTTCTATAAATATAAAAATTTACCCTGAATAACAAGATGGATTGGTTAACTTTTCTCTTTTCTCTTCATATCCAGTTTGTTCCTTCTAGATTCTGAACCCCTCTAAGAGAGCAGAGAGTAACAAGCAATTCAGTCTTGTTCATTACTTTATATTCAGTGATTAGCATGATGTTTAGCATATTGTGGATGTTCAGTT